TCTTTTTCTTGGTCTGCTTTTTAAATCCCATCTCATCTTTTGTTTTCTCTATTGCCTAATTCCATTACATAGAATTTAAACTTACCCTTTACTAATTAACTCTCTAGTTGCATTACATATTTTTCTCTTCATTTGTTTCTTTACATCGTGTGTATGTGTGTGTTTGTGAGAGAGAGAGAGACAGAATGAGAGAGAGAGAGAAAGAGAGGGAGAATAGAATATCCATGTGCATAGATGTGTGTACATGATCCTCTTTCTTTGGCACTTGAACCCAATAAGTGATTTGTAGTTAAGTTATAGGACTCTTCATGTTAGACTAGAGTGTGCCCTCTGGGGGAAGAGCCATGTGCACATTGATTTTGCTATTTGATTGTCCTCTGTCTCATTCTCCAGTCCCTTGAAACAGTGTTATGTTTGGTGTTGCTTTTGGATTTTGATTTTGTTTATTCCTAGAGTTTATAATTACCTTCAGGAGGGCTAGTCAGGCACAGCTAACTTTAGAATGATTTTCTTGGCAACTTTTTATTATTGTATTCAAGAAAATTTAATTCAAGACGTTTACAAGTAGAGAGTACTCTACTTGTTACCAATTTCAGAGAATATACACAGTTTTTATATTTTACAGTCAACTCTTACTAGAAAAAATTTAAATTTTTATACAAATAGTTTATTTTTCCCTTGTCTATAGGTAAAGAAGAGAACAGACAAAATTAACTATTGCTAGTTACTTTATATTATTATTTTGAGGAAATTTGTTTGTTAAACTTAATTATGCTAAGTAAAGATTGATTCAGTAAATATATTCAGCTAAAAAAATACATTGGCAGGAGAACTTTTGATCTATAGTTTAAGAAGCAATCATTAACCAAACAAAAGTTAGCATTTTTCAATTCCATGTTTTGTGATTTTATTTAAATTGGAAATTTAGGATCACTTGATATTTTAGCTTGTGTTTAAAGAATCACCACTTGGAGTTCATTCTTTTATGTAAGCAAGCAATTTACTGAATTATAATTAGCACAGTAATGTTTAGGAAATTTTTTTCTTCTAATATCAGTGTAATAATACCTTCAAACCAATCATGCTGTTCTACTGAATTAGTGGAAATTATGGCTTCTTTTTAGTGGAGCAGGGACAGGAAGATGTTGGCCTTCATATCTGACATTTCCAAATGGAAAGTAACCAAAATTTTATAGTTATGTTAAAAAACAGATTTTACTGTTGTTAATTTCCTAGAAAAAGTTGTAAGACAGTTGATTAATTACTAATAAATAGTACAAACTTGCTCAAATTCAGAAAGAAATGCCCCTTGTAATTACATACTATGTGCTATTCAATTGTATTTCCTAGGAGTCCCACAGTACAGCATTTTTTCACATTGTAACTTTTGTCTGGTGTTTGCTTGCTCACTGTTTCTGTGAGCAACAGAAGCTATGCAACACAAACAGTGATTCTGTCCCAGTGCGATATTTCACTGTGTTAGCCCTCTGGAACGCTACTATGTTAAAGTAATCAACCATTTTAAAAAGCAAATCAAGTTCTGAATAGGTAAACCAGGGTTTTGTGTCTCTTTAGGGACTATTTTCTTTTTTAATTTTAATTTATTGTAAACATGCTGTACAGAAGGTTACAGTTACATGAGTGAGGTAATGCTCATTGTTACCCCTTCCCTTGTTGTTCTCCCACTATCCCTTCCCTCCCCATCCCACACTCCTCTCCATCCTCCCCCACCCCCCACCCTAAGTTGTAAAGTTCGTTTCCAATATACTGTCCTGTGGGTATCCTTGTTGTAATGGGTCATCCTGTGTCCTTGTTTCAGCGTTTTGTTATTCCCCTTCCCCTCCCCAGATTAGTCAAATGTATATACAAGATGCAGGGTGCAGTGACAACAGGGGATATACCATAGAAAGAAGAACATACAAAGGAAACAAAAAAATTCACATAGTACATTTACAACAATAACAACAAAGACAGACCTCTTGTGTCCATTATCTTTGTATTCATTTCACTTAGCTTTTGAGCTTTTCAGCTCATCTGATAAGATTATCCTATATGTATACTAATTATTGCAAATAAGGGAAACCAGGGACCTAAATTTCTTTGGGACTGGCTTACTTCACTTAATATGATTTTTTCCAAGTCTTTCCATTTCCTAATCGGGTGGTGTCGTTCTTTCTGATGGAAGCATAGAATTCCATTGTGTGTGTGTGTGTGTGTGTGTGTGTGTGTGTGTGTATCACATATTCTTAATCCACTCATCTACTGTGGGGCATCTGAGTTGGTTCCATATCTTAGCTATAGTGAATAATGCTGCAATAAACATTGTGCTGGTAGCTTTATTATAGCCTTGTTTGTTTTCTTTTGGGTAAATGCCCAAAAGTGGGATTGCTAGGATATAGGGTCACTATTTTATTTAGTGTATTTGTAAAACTCTTTATGGACAGACCTTAGATATTGTTCACAAATCTCCACTAGGATTCCTCATTATTTTGAGCACAGAGGTTACAATTGCTCTTGTTTGGGAGCCATTAGAGGTATATGTCAATATCCAGGCTGTAAAGCAATGATTTCTAAGGTTTATATAAAATGTACAATTGTATTGATATGAACACTGGCTACAGTCTTAGCCCCAATTATGGATTTTTTATAATTATTACCAACTATAACATAGAAAGGGTAATTTAAGCAGTGGGAAACTTAACCAAAGGAAATTAAAATAACTATTGATTAGATGATGTTATGATAGTAATATGAAACATCTTCCACAGTCTCATGTATTCGGAACTATCTTGTTAGCTAAAGGATTTTTGAGAAGTGATTGGATTCTGAGGATCCAATTTGATCATTGTACATTATCAATTACCTTCATTAAAATATAAGTTTTTGTTGATCACTCTGATCTCTGATGCCTAGCATAAAGTCCATGTTCAAAAGTTCTGATTAATGAATGCATGAATATATTCTTTTTCACCATGTAAAATGGAAATACAAATACAAGTAATATGTACCCTTGTTTCTTTCCTGCCTTTACCCTACTGCCAAAAAAAAACAATAGGGGCTGGGAAGGTGGCTCAGTGATAGAGTGCTTGCCTTGCATGCCTGAGGCCCTGGGTTCGATTCCTCAGCACCACATAAGCAAAAAGAAAAAAGCCGGAAGTGGCACTGTGGCTCAAGTGGTAGAGCGCTAGCCTTGAGCTGAAGAGCTGAGGGACAGCTCCCAGGCCCAGAGTTCAGGACCCATGACCGGACCCCCCCCCCCCCCAAAAAAAGAAAAAAACAATAGAACATACTGTAACACTGTACTTCTCACAAGACCATGAAAGTTAACTGAGTCAATTGTGAATGGCTATTAAGTCAGAGAGATGAACAGTAATTTTTATTTTAACATTTGAAATTTAAGGTCTATGTAAGATATCCTGGTTGCATTAAAATAGATTAATATGTATATAAAATTTGAGCTTAAAGTAGACTCTACCTAGAGATAGATTGGATAGTCTTCAAATATATGGATAGTCTTCAAGTATATGGAATAACAAAAGCTCTGAATGTGAATACTTCTATAAAACTCTATAGAGTAAAATGAGAAGTGGGTGAAGTAATAATTCAAGAAAGTTTTACTAGGGCGGGGGGGAGGGGGGAGGCTGGGAAGGGATGTGAAGGGTAAACAAAGGAGGAGGCTACAATGCTTGATAAGAAATGTACTCATTATCTTGCCCATATAATTTTAACCCCTCTGTACAATATGTTCACAATAAAAAATAAAAATAAAAAATAAAAAAAGAAAGTTTTACTATGTACCATCTGAGTAGAAAATGGAAAAACACACTGAGAAGGTATTACAGAATATGTATGATGATGTTTGAAAGTGCTGAAGAACACAATAAATATTTCTTTAATAGAATGTATTGCTGCTAAATAATACAAGAGAAATAGTGCCAGGCAAATAATACCTAACACCTACCCTTCTTCCCACATCCAGTATTAGTATTCTATTGATAGAATAGAGTTATACAGCTATGTAATTATTTTTATTATAGTTCAATGATTTTATAGATGTAATATTAAAGAGTATTATTACTAATCATTGCATTTCATTATTCTTATATGTGAAATCAGTAATAACTGTTTCTTTCAGAATTGCATAACTACAATTAAAGCTGTATTATACTATTTAAAGTGTCTCCTAGTAAAGAATTAAGTGTGTTTGTTTGTTTGTTTCTGGCAGTATTGGAGTTTGAACACAGAACCATGTGTTTGCTAGATTAGAGCAAACTTGTTTAGGACAGTTCTAGCAAGTTTTTCTTCCCAGGGTGGCAGGTAGATCTCACTCAGTCTAGCTAGATTTCCACTCATAAGCCACTAGTGCCAGGATTATTTTTAAATCCTATCTTTATGACAAAGTAATTTATAGTGAGAAATTAATCTCTAAATGAAAGGTAGAATACCAGGTTATCAAAACTCTATTTTTAAACATTACCAAAATTTTTATATTTCTCAGCGATATATCATTTATTCTAATTTATCATTTGTGTTAATAGAATTTAGAATTACATATCTTCATGTATAACTCCTTTTCTTGTGTGCAGAGTGATATAAAATAAAGTTTTAGAGGAGGAGGCAACAATGCTTGATAAGAAATGTACTCATTATCTTGCCCATGTAATTGTAACCCCTCTGTATGGTATTTTCACAATAAAAAAATAATAATAACAGCAAAAAAATAAAGTTTTAGCAAACAGATGGTGTAGATTGCCTAATGGTATTTATATTGTTTTCATTACTGTGTGGAAGTAAGTGTGATTTATCAGTTATATAGTTTATTTTTAGGTTGTTTGTTCATTGATGATAAACATTAGTAGAAAAATTGGAAGTAGCTCCCTTTTTGTTCACTCTACTTGAATCTTGTATTTTTTCTCAAAAAATAAACTATATATCTTTAAAACTGGACTTCTTAATCTTTATATTATTCCTAAATTAATCGTGTTTTCCTGTTGTTTTAGTTCAGACTTGGTTCCTTCAACTTAGAGAAAGTTGCAAACACAGCTGAAGTCATTAGAGAAATTGTTTGTTACTGCTTGGACACCATTGCAGAAAACCAAGCCAAAAATGAGCACCTGCAGAAAGAAAATGAAAGGCTTCTGAGAGATTGGAATGATATTCAAGGACGGTATGTACATAGTGTTCTTGCATTAAAAGAACAGTGGGCTTTTTCATATTATTGAAGGTTTGTGATTCATAGGTTTACGTATGTAGAATAGCCTATAATTAAAACAAAACCTTTCATTAATTATACAAGTAATTATAGTATTTGATAGGAAGAAACATATAGGTAAATAAGGAGTAATTGAACTCTGAGCATTAGAAGCCTGTATTGTAATGTTAGTTACTAATGTTTAGTAATATAGTTATAGGTATAGCTTAGTAGTATGGTATGTTAAGCATGCTCAAGGCCCTGGACTTCATCCTTATTACCTCTTAAAATAGTTAGTAGATATTTATAAGACTAATACTGAATAAAAATACTTGATAAATGAGCACAATTGATTCTTTACTTGGAATCAAAGAATAGTAACTATTTTAAATGATATCTGCTTTGGCTTTTACTAGAGACTTCTTTTTTCCTGGCTGAAAAGTCCTATGTTAGGTATTTTTGATACATGACACCAAATTATGGCTTCTGAATAAGACATGTAGGAGTATTTTATTTTCCTAGGTTTGTCTCTTAGTTTTTAAATGATGGAAAATAAAGTTGCATATTTTCTCTGTTATGAACTTTCTCACCTATATCGTAACCTATGTCTTTTATGTAACTTGTATTGTGCTGTACAAAGGATATTTTATGGGAAGAAAATGTTTTATGAGCCCTTATATACCTATAGAGACATAGATGAAAAGCATATCTTGTTTGTGTGTTACTTGAAATAATTGTGTGATGTATTTGTAGTAATAATACATAGATTTCTTATCTCACATCCAAGTTGATTGTTCTTGAACACAAGAATCTGTACCATGAAATCTTTTTCGGGCAAGCATTATTATTCTACAAAACTATTTATAAGTATACAGGTAGTACAAGAAACAATGAGTTTTACAACTGTCTATGAATGTGTATGGAAAATTATTTAAAAATTAATTTTTCTGTATATTTAATTCTAAACAGAAAAATTTTCACACATAAAAACATAATTAGATTCAACTGTTATTTATTGCATTAAGAAAATATTTGTTGCATTCATTTTTAATTGTAAATTAATTTTTATCACCCATTATCAAATAAATATGTAATATAGTCTGATACAATGTTGATATATTAGTAAGCCATATAAGAAAATAATTGAAATTTTCTTTTGCCTTCTGTTTAATTCATTTAGTATGAATCAGTATTAAGTGTCAGTGTTACAAAGCATTTCATGGATTTGTATTGTAGTTTAGGTTTCTTTTTTTTATTTCTATATGAAATCAAATTAAAGGTGATGCACTGTGTTCATGATAAGCCATTATGTTTTTATATTTAAAACTCAAAATACTCTCACAATGACAGGAAATTTGATCCATAAATTGCCCACAAAAATGCAGACTGGATACTTGGTACTTGAACAAATTGCTTTAAAATGTGTGCCAGAGGTTGAAAGAAATATTATCTCATCAGTATTCAGCACCATTCCCATTGAATTGAAAGCAGCAGGGTACGAAGATGAGGTCTTAGAGACAATTGCACCCTGTGCTATGAAACTGTGTGTGTGAGGGATACAAATATTATGTGGAGCACAGATGTTTGATTTGCTCTTCCTGAACTCTCCTGAAAATGCCTTTGTCTTACTGTAGCAAATGATTTCATGTTTGTTAAAAAGCACAGCCATGTGTCCTGTCACCATTTTGATTATTCTTGTTCAGGTGTCTTCTTTTTTTATGGTATTCTTGTTCACATTGGGTCAGATAGATACCTTCTTTGGAAACTGACAATATGCCACTGGGTGAACTGATAAACTGAGAGGAAAAGTACCCTGTAGAAAATTCTAGGGTTTTTTTTGGATAGCAGATTGAAGATTAATAGCCTTATCTAGTTCCTAAATTTGGTTTGCTTCCCTTTGAGAGGAACAAGTGGTTCTTTTAAAAGCTGTAAAGGGAAGACATTGATCAAGATGCACTGTACTCACAGACTAATGTATTGAATTGAAATATCTTTGTATAACTACTTAAACATAGTAAAAATAAATAATATGAGACCCATTAAAAAAAGAGCTGTAAATACACCTGGACATGGCCATCCACAGAGCACTTTCTAAAATCTTAATACTTTGGCAAGTCAGATTTTTATCTCCAACATCCAAATCTATGGCTTATCTTTAGAGAGCTTAGAAATAATAGTACACTGTTAGGTAACTGGGTAGAGAAACATTCAAATGTGTAACCTAATGTTAGGCCTAGCTATGTTTGGGTTTTCACAGCAGGCTCTAATTATGACAGTGTCCATCCAACATACAATCATTTCTTCCTTACCACTACTCCAGACTGCATGTGAAAAAGAGGGATTGAAGAAGGGAAAAGGGACACAAAGAAAAGGAAGGGATTTCTCTAGCAGCTATTCTAGATGGATTTGAATATATGTGATTCTACAATAGGATATATTTTGAGCAAAATCGATTAGGTACATGAGTTTATTAACATGAAAAGTATTTATGCTACAGTAAGAGAAGACATTCATTAGCAAAAATGTAAATTCTATCTCATTTTTGCAAATATTTGTTTAGAGAATATATATGGACAAGGGAAAAATGTTACTAGGTATAGATATCTAAAAGGAAAACTTAAGTGTTAATAGTATATAGTGGAATTATACATAAAACGTTCCATTTTGGATGATATTTTTCACATGTTCCTATGTTAAAAGTATAGTACTATTATGATCAAATCCAAATATCATCCTATTTTTATTTGGGGAGCATTATAAAGAAAAGAGGCTCAAGTGAGGAAAGATGTGTTACAACATGAATATAGAGAGCAATAAATGTATTGCTACTGCCTTATAGCTACTATGGAAAATTGTGATCTCTGCTCAGATTTCAACCAGTAGTGTCAGATGATTTAAGTTTAAATTAAGGATGACGTATTAGAAAATATTGATATGAATCATCAGCTTATAAGCTATATTTATTTCATGATGTTTCTACTTAATTTCAAATGAAAAACCCTCAAGTTTCATGTTACTGAATGGATCTTTTATTGAATTCAGACCTCAATTTAGAATTCCTCTGGCTTTATTCTAATAATAGTAATTAAATCCATAACAGGAGGCATTTTAGTGAATTGAATTGACACTTATGGAATCATTAGAAGACCTTGAGTGCTCTTTTACTTTTTTCTTCTGCCTTCAAGATAGGATCACGTTATCTCCAGATAAATTCAATATGATGTTTAAAGAATATATTTATATCTCTGTGGTAGCCTAGCTAATATTGAAGAATAGTCTCAATGAGAAAATTTATACTTTAGTCTATTGGTAATAAATGTTTCACGTTCTTGTTGAAGGTCATTCCTCTTATTCTTTCAGCAGAAAGCATGAGGGGCAGCTGTTTACCATCTTCTTCAAGAATTAAGCCTTAGTAATAAATCTTTACCACTGATTTCTTTTCTATGTCTTTAGCATTCCTTGTCTTTTGTACTTCTTTGGCTTTACAACCTTGATTGGGATTTAAATGTTTCCAGAACTGATTACTAATACAATGATTTCTACAGTGTTTCACTAGCAAATGTCCACATTTATTGTTTTATTTTATTTATTCTGTTTTATTTATTATTTTATTTGAATGTTATTTCTGCATGAAATATTTCACTTGCTCATGTTTTTCTTACTGTTTTAACATATTATTCCCTAGACATTTTGGTAACTAAAAATGTTATTTTTAATATTCTGTTTTTTCTATATTTTTCTTTTCATCCTTTCAGTTTTTTTAAAATTGCTCTGTGTTAGTCCAAGGCATTAGATATCTCAGTGTTAATGTTATAAATTAAAGTTACTATCATTGGTCTATTTTGATAGTCAGCATTGAAAGCATTACACTTTTCTTGTCTGTTGCTCTTTATGTTTTCATCTAGTTTGATCTTAGGCATTATCTAAGACTTGGGCTTAGATGTAGTTCTTGGATTAGTTGTTTTCTGTTCTAATGGTATATGGGCTGACTTTTACTGTCCCTAGACTTAGCAGTGAATCCCATATCTCTTCTCTATTAATAATCTCACCTAGTAATTTCTGCTCAATTCTTAAGACAGAAGTTTACCAAGAGGCAGGTAATGTGTAAAGCTTAGTAATATAGAAGGCATAGTAAGCTCATACTTCTATAGAAGAGGAATACTGCCATGTATCTCTTGAAAAGTATTGAAAGTAATAAGTAAAAGTAGATGCATGTCCTGCAACTGTTCATCTCAACATTTCTGAAAAGTCTTATTCAGCATGATGGCAAAAAGTTTGGTTGCAAAAAAATTGCAAATATCAAGATGCTTAGCTACCAACCATTCATTTTATTTAATTATTTTTTTCTTATCAGAGAAGTGATGCCACAAATACTTTGGATGCCAGTTATTTATATTATAATATTTTAATGAAAATTATGGCTATTTCATTATAATAACTAAAATTAAGGTGTATATACATATTAAGTTTAATGAAGTTTTTGAGTTGACAAATGTACATAATGTTTTGGGCAAACATTTGGAAATAAATTATATGGAATTAAATTGTCTAATTGGTGGCAATTTCTAAAATCCTATTTAAGACATATATAAGATTTTTTTAATCATTTTTATTTTTATTATTACATAGAAGTTATTTTAGTTATATGTGTGTTGTATTCACATTAAATGTTTGTTATTGTGTTGCATTAGAAAAAATGTGAATGTTAGCTATACAATATCATATAATAATTACACTATATTTATATATAATATCACATCTGAAATGCAGCATCATTCTTTTGCTTAAAATAAGCTGTCAACATTGGTAGCACCTCTTTAATTTTGACCCTATTTTTCCTCATATTTCTTTTTTAAAAGCTTGATGAAAAGAATACTGATATAGATATACACATATTATTTGCAACAAAAACTCAAAAGCCAAGGTAGATGGGCAGGTTTGTGCACATGCGTGCGCACGTGTGTGTGTGTGTGTGTGTGTGTGTGTGTGTGCGCGCGCGTGTGCGCACGCGCGCGCACACGAGCGCTGGTATTAGGGCTTGAATTAGGGTCTGTATGCTCTCCCTTAGCTTTTGCAGTTAAGGCTAGTGCTCTGACACTCGATCCACAGCTCTACTTCTGGCTTTTTTTGGTTAATTGGATATGAGTCTTACCAACTTTTCTGTCTGGGCTTGCATTGAACAGCAATCTTCAGATCTCAGCCTCTTGAGTGGCTAGGATTACAGGTGTGAGCCCCTGGCACCTGGCTATGATTAGTAGCTTTTAAATAGTGAAAAATCCATAAGTAGTCATGCAGTATAATGATGTTTCTGCTAATACAGTTTCTGTTAATAAGATGATGGCGCTCATACATTTCTATCTCTATAATATTGTGGCTTTCCTAGCATCTTAGTTAGTGCAATGCATTACTCACATGTTTTAGTGATGCCAGTGTAAAACACATCGACTATACTGCCAGTTGTTTAATTTACAGTATATACAACTGGGTATACCCACAACAAAGCTGATATTAATAATATTATTGGTTTGTATATGTATGATGCTTTTTATGTTTTTATTGTGAAAATACTGTATAGAGGGGGTACCTCTATACAGTTACCTGAGCAAGGTAATGAGTACATTTCTTATCATCATGATTTTAAAGTGAGTATTTTCCACTCATTGAGAAAGGGAAGATTTCTGTAAGGCAGTATGCTATGTTGCACCAACTATAGCCTCATTGATCTCATGTGTACTGTATCTCAGTTGCATAAAGAGGTAAAATTGAATGATTGAGCTATACCATCTATAAGTGTATTCTAAAGGGTTTGTACAATGTAAAATTTTCTAATAGTGAAATTTTAGGATGTACCTTATTCATTAAATAAGGCATTTACTTCTTTATACTGTACATTTTAGGGGCTATTGCTATAACTCAGTAGTAGACCATTTGCCGAGCATACATAAGCCCTAGGTTTGATCCTCAGCACTGCAAAAGAAAAAAAAAAAAGATATTCCTGTTAGTGTTTTTTTATTCACCCATTCTGCCATTCTTCAGTGAAAGCTATTGGCAGTTGGGGTGGCAGCTCAAATGGCATGACCCTGAAACCCCACTGTCATAGCACTAACTGGCCTGAGGCCACATGATTCAAACTACTGGCCAGAATGATCGATTAATTTAAGGACTAGCAGTCAAAATAAAAAGCTTGATCCAGTGTCCTGCACCTGGGCCCATATGACCCCTAGTATGAGGCTCCACAGTTAAGTATCAAACCAAAGCATTAATTTAGCATGAGCTTCAGTTTGGAAGAGTTAAATGTAGTAGGCATCCTGAGAAAAGTGGCTCTGAACATAGATATGCCTGAGTATTCCAAAAGGCTCAACATGCCCACAGCCTAAGAAGGCAAAAGGTTTTGCTAAAGAACTCAAGTTGGCTATCCATTTTGTTAGAACCACTGATGCTCATAAGAATATGCAGAAACAGCAAAAAGCCAATCATCAACCAAGGAGTAGAACTTCAACATCTTTGAAAGTCTTTACACATTCTAAGCCAAATGCCTGACTTTTCAGCATCACAGAAAAAGTTGTCAAGAACAGGAAGTAAAAATAATAGCATTGACAGAGATGTATAATTAACCAGCATTACAAATGGAAAAAAATGTGTTTATTAACTCACCCACTTTATTCACGTATCCAGTAAATACCTACTGAACATTTGTCAGATGCTAATATGTTACTGGGCATTGAGGATAAAACAGCCAGAAAAAACACACATGCTCTCACTGCTCTTATGAAGTTTACAGCCTTAACAGAAGCTCTGCTATAAAAAATTTCTCTCATTGCTTCCAGAAATATACTGACATATGTTCTTTTGCATCCTGTGAAAAGTTTTTACATCTCTAAATAAGTAGATTGTAGAAAGATTTGGCTTTTTGTGAAAAGTATCACATGTCAACATTCTCCTTACTATTTCTCTGAAATTTATATTTGTGTAAATATATATGTAGGATAAAAATACTAATACACGTACAGAAAGAACAACAGGGGTATAAATTGGCAGAGTGATAAAGAGAAAAAGAGGCAGAGCATAACTACATTTAAAAGAATATTTTAGAAGAAATAATTTGTATTTTAATCTGTAAATCTGATGACACTGATCAAGATGCTTTGTATTCATAATCTCACATGTTGAATTGAAACCACTTGTACAACTACTTAAAGATAATTATTTTAAAAATAAAATAAGTACAATTCCTTGTTAGTTCATGTAAGTATTGTAGGAAGGATTAAAATAATATAAAATCCTGTAAATGGCTTTGATATCTAAAACTGAAGATATATATTGTTTCATATTTCCTATTTTATTATTATCAGCTAGGAAATATCAAATACTTTTATTCATTATCTTTGTGTGCATGTGTTTGTATGTGTGTATATTTGCATGCACAGCAGAATTACAAAATATATCTCATTTATGTTGTGTGGCAGTTCATATGGTCTAGTGGGAAAATCAAACAGCTATACTGCTTTATTATAAACAAAAACATGATGTGTCACAATACTATTAAGAAAGTACTGAGGAAGAAAGGTTATATTTTCTATTTGAAATTATTTACATGAAAAAAATATTTTGGGAGTCGAGATTCAGCTCAGTGGGAAAAAAAGCTTAAAAAAATCCCCTAAAGCATTCTTTTATAAATAAATATATGCGAATAAAAATTTACATTTAGATATTTAGAAATTGTAAAACTTTATTTCTATCAGATTTTGATTTTATTATCCAAGTATGTAAATTTAAAATATTAAAATAATTGCCAATTTATCCTTGAAATGTTTAAATCAATGAAAACAAATATAAAACAGATTTTACTTGTATTTTTTCTTGAAAATCTTTTTTGAAATGTTCATGAGTATTAGACTGAATAAAATTAGTATTTGTGAAAAACTAATGACATGTTTGTTTGGTTAATTTTTTAGGTTTGAAAAGTGTGTGCGTGCCAAGGAAGCACTGGAGTCCGATCTTTATAAAAGGTTTATTCTTGTGTTGAATGAAAAGAAAACAAAGATCAGAAGCCTGCATAAGCTGTTAAGTAAATTTCAAGAATTGGAAAAAAACACTGAAGATAACAGGTATAACATTTCTAAGATTAGATGACAAATTCAAATAAATATAAACAGAATTTCACATAAACTTAATAAAAGTAAGGTAAAGATTGTTAGTAATGTGAAATCGCTTAGTAGTTTGGGTTAAGATATTCTGGCTGTTGGGCAAGGGAAATCACAAGGTAGAGAATTCTCAAAATGTTATCTTCATATATACCCACTGCTGCACCTAACTATCAGACTACCACGAGGGTGATCTAAATGGTATTTATTTAATTCTTAGATATCACTAAGGAAGAACTATGCTAGAAGACTCTCATTCAAGGCTGCAAAGTTGTATGCACATTTATGATTTGATGTCCAAATGGCTTACTTTAGGAATTATATGGTTAATGTTGAATTTCACAAAGCATTTATATTCTCTGATTAGAGTGTGCTCTCCCTCTCACTGTTCTTTCAAGTTTTTTTCTGTGTGTGTATATAGATGCTTGATTGGTAAGGAAAATTACCTAGGTCATAAGTGTTTGGCTTAGGTTTAGACAATTATAATCTGAAAGGAAGCACAGTTTTACTACTGAAAGAGTATAAAATGACAGATTGTTCTCGTTCAAATATTATATGGTGCTGAGTATATATAGCCATAGGCAAGTCCTTTAACTTTCCATGCTTCATTTTTGGGATAAGCAAATGAAATGAAGAACTGCTCTAGTATTGTTAAAACATTAAAAGCTCTGACATACATAGGTTATTTATTGGAATGATATTTTCATTAAAGAATAGAAAATTATAAAAATTGATTCAGGAAGCAATAACGTGCACATTCACATTGTCCTGGAAAAGAAACTTTTGCTTAACAGTTAATACACAATTAATATAAATTTTATCTAAATCAAATATCTTACTATTTTTTTTTATTAAAATCTCTTTCCAGGAACGGTTTATATGACTGTTTATTGATGAATTTGGTATTTGCCTAGGAGTGAACCAATGATTTACTAATTGTACTTTTCCCTTTTCTAGAGAAGCTACAACCTTCTCTGAAGTATCTGCTGACCAAGATGCAATTTATGATGAAAGCACAGATGAGGAAGGTGGAAACATGAGTGGCCCATCTGTACTGGATTCAGGTAAGAGACATTTATGTATTTGTTTGTTAATTTTCTCACTTGAACCTTTTACTCTTAATATATATATATATCAATAATTGTAAAGATATTGTACAGGGCTGGGAAGGTGGCTCAGTGGTACAGTGTTTGCCTTGCATGCATGAGGCTCTGGGTTTGATTCCTCAGCACCACATAAGCAGAAAAAGCCAGAAGTGGCGCTGTGGCTCAAGTGGTAGAGCACTAGCCTTGAGCTGAAGAGTTGAGGGACAGCGCCCAGGCCCAGAGTTCAAGCCCCATGACCAAAAAAAAAAAAACAAAAACATAAAAGATGCTGTAAAGAGGGGTTACAGTTATATAAGCAAGATAATGAGTCCATTTCCTAACAATGCTTGATAGGAAATGGACTCATTACCTTGCTCATGTAACTGTAACCCCTCTGTATAGTATCTTTACATTAAAAAATATATATTAAGAAAAAAACACCAATGAAAAATATTATCAAGCCTTTGCTTTTTGTAAAAATTGTCTTTAATTTTTATTCTAAAAATTCCAAATAGTGTTAAAAATATTATGTAAAATGTATCAATTCATTAGCAACAGCAAGGCAAATGCATGTGTGTACACATATATGCCAAGGTAAACTCATACTAAACAAAGATTCCTAAGCAGTGATGAAATACACCTTCTTGTTGACCAGTTTTTGAGAACTTATCTAGCTAAGGCTATAGGATAAGCATCATAATAGAGTAATCCAGCCCTGTTACAGATAACTTGAGCTTGTTCTGAAGTTGAAACTTTATCTCACTTTTCAGGAAAAAATTCCACCAAGGGTAGAGGAAAATAGAAGGAAAAATAACAGTTCAGTTTAAAATATTGCTGCCTTATTCAGTGAAACTCAAGTGCCGAGTACATGTTTACATCAATGGGCTATTTTTCTAGAATTTTCACATTTCCTAGGGAGAGTGTAAGCAGTATAAAATGAATATTCAGTTCATTCACTTAGCAAAGATATTTGAAAACCTATTAAGTTGTTAGGAATTTTTCTGGACAGTGGGGACAAAAATACAAAACCCATGTAATTATAGGATTTAAATTTCAGGATAACACATAACAAGATGAATTGAATATAACATATGAGTTGTGGTAAGTGATCAAGAGATAAAAAGAGATGATACAAACAAGTGATGATAAGAGATGATAGCAGTGGCAGGATGGTAATAGGATATGGATTGTCTATGATACAAGGAAAGGAATGGAATCAGAAGGTGACAGATCTATTTGGGAAAAAAGCCTAACAGGCAGAACAATATACTTATGTACAAAGCACCTAATATGTTCAAGCCAAAACTCAAAGGTGAATATGGGTAAAGTGGAAAGATCAATAATAAGAGAACTATGAGACTTTTATTTTAACAATATTAATCTGCTTTTGTGTTTAGAATAGAATGTAGGACTGCAAGTACACAAGAACATATAACAGCTATTTTGTGACTGAGTACCTGAATGGTAGTGAAAGTAGTGAGCAACAGGGTAGTTCATGATAGATTAGATAAGAAAGCTTATTTAGTGAGACTGTAGTCAAGAATAATTCTGTTTATTTTTATGCATTTATTGAGATCTAAGGGAAGATTACTGGGGTTTAAGAGAAATTGATCTGTAATAGTCTTATGAATAAAACTCTTCTTTTATTTTTTCCAAGGTCTTAAATTTTTCTCATGATTAAAATTAGAACAAGTAGTGATATATAGTCCAACCTAACTTGAGCTATTGTATAGTATACTAGGTAGCATGATAAACCTCAAAAAGGGAGAGAGATGAAGGTTATTGGTAGAACATCATTCTGATATTATGAGGAAGGTACTGCATTGCAAGTGTAGCACCACAGACAAAACATCACATAACAAAACAAAATAAAGTAAAACTGCAAAAACAAAATACAAAACAGAACAAACCCTGTAAAGCACTTATTAATAGTTCATTAGCTAAAAGAAGATCCTTAAGCATTCTGAAATTTGAATTTCACAGGCAATACCAACCCTCAACACATTTTGTATTTCTCTACTAATATTTATTTTCCTAAAGTCTTTTCTTTCACAATTTATATATAGATCATAGTGACATTTGTGACTTTGTTTCTTAAACTGTGGCTAGCTATTAAACCCTAGGCTTCATAAGGTTTTCATTTTGATTCAGATTAAGATTATAATAGATATAGTAGTTTTTATGGTCTCTATTTGTATCTCTGTCTCTGGTTTACAAGGAAGAATGAGTCATTTTTATACCTTATAGACTTTAAGAATGTTTGGATGCTGTGCCTCCATGCCACTATATGTGTATATATATACATGTATATTGCATATATATACATAGATATATATATCACTATATATATATATATATATTGTGATGAGAACTTGTTGATTTATTATACAAATTGTGAAACTTTGTATATAGCAAATTTTGTTTCTTTGAATCTAAATTAAAGGAACATCCTAGCTTAATTTGATTGATACTATAAATTCACCAAACTGTATAAAGAATTAGACACTATTAATATAGAAAGAGACCAATAGCTGTAGCATTTCACCCACTGCCTTTCATTTCCCCAACAGTGTCAATTTATCAATTGTCATTAAACAATTTATCATTATGGAATTTGAAAACATTGTTTCTTTACTCTTCATGCTGTAATAGCTTGCGAATTGTGTGTGAAATTTAATTTTAATATAAATAAACACTGCAAGATTTTAGCCATTGTATTTCTTAGCCATAACCTAATTAATACGCATGCAGATATTTAGTGGAAAAATTGAATTTTCTTAATTTGATCATTCATGTGAAACATTCTGAAGTTGTGCCTAATTGGCTCCCAGTTAGTTATGACATGCAGAATTATTTTAAAATCTTATTACAGTTTTTTTGCATTGTAATTATTTCTGTTAATAGAAATTGACATTATTTCTTATCATTACAGATAATTGAATTGGGCTTATTAAAATACAGATAAGAAATACATTTCTATAATATTATACCTTACTTAGCTTAATATTTAACATTCACAATCATCATAAACAAAATAACCCTTCATTCCACTTTTCTGTGTAATTATTATCCTAAGATTTAGCACATTCGTTTAATTAATCCTTCTTAGCCAACAGGAAGTTCCTGTATAACTGTTATCAGTCATTTGGGCTTCTACTTAATTGGTAGTCTTCCTGAGAGGAAGTGTGGTTATAGAATGGCCTTTTTGAAAATAAATGAATGGCTATGTTAAACAGTTGATGAATACTGATATAGTTGCTTTTTGAAATAGAACAGAATCCAAAATTTCTAAGTATCAAAGGGCTTGTTGCTTTAAACAGTGAATGTCTGCTCACACAGGGGATAACAACATGTCCTGCCAAAGAGATTACTCAGAAACTCAACTTTAGAATCAGAGATTATGCTCTTAAACTTCTCCAGCATGTTTATCATAGGTCCTTCTATTTATAAGTTTTAAATGAAAAATTTGATTGGATAGAACCTGTCACCTAGAAAAACAGTTTGAGTGTATTTTCTAGCAACAAAGACCTTTATATGCAAGCCTTGTTGCCAAGATTCTAGATTTCTTTTTTTTTTATTGTGAAAATACTGTACAGAGGGGTTACAATTACATGGGCAAGATAATGAGTACATTTCTTATGAAGCATTGTAGCCTCCTCCTTTGTTTCCCCTTCCCATCCCTTCCCATCCTCCCCCCACACCCCCACCCAATCCTCATCACCCCTCCACCAAAGTTGTAAAATTCATTTTCAACATAACGACTTGTATATCTCATTGTTGCAATGGGTCCACCTGTATCCCTATTTAAACGATTTGTTTTTTCCCTTCCCCTCCACAAATTATACCGACATCAAATACAGTGAAAGCAGGGGTTATACTGTGGGGGAGGGACATACAAAGCAACAAAGAAATAATCTTATAAATGTGTTAGAAACAATCACATGAGAGGAGAAAACATTAGAATACATATCTTAGGGTTCATTTCCCTAACATCAACTTGTCTGACCTTTTCTGCTTGACTCAGACATAACTAGTTATTGCAAATAAGGGAAACCATGGGACCTATGTTTCTTTGGGCCTGGCTTAATTCACTTAATATAATAGTTCTACTTCAAGCCAGTTATTGTTTCTGTTGAGGTTAAGTACATAACTCTTGGTCACACAGCAAAGAAAACGACAAAGCCTTTGCCATGAAAACAATATATTAATCATATTTACAACGTTCTTTTGAAATATAAAGGCCATTAGAAATTTCAAAACTGTAAGGAAATTATTATTGATGCAAGATAATATTGAAAATCTCTTTTCCTTTTTGACTCTAGAAAGGAAAGATTTTATATATCTGATCCAGAATATAGCCTTCATCATCAGAATGAAGCAATTAAGTCTTCATGATATTTAATTTGTAGAAAAAATTCAGGAATGCATTATTTCTATTGGGGTCATTCTTCTACATATTATTTAGATTGACTTGCCTGAGACTTCTCTGGTGCTTCAAAAGTTGTTAATAATCTATAATAATTTTTCCATTCCATACTATTAAGACAAAACTTTGATATGTCCTCCTACAGAGCTATATTTACATATATACATGTAAATACATGTATCTGTACTATATCTATATAAACATATATGTAAATACATAAGTATGTATTATGAAAGCAGAAAAATGCCTCTAAAATTGTCTTTTTGTGAATGAATCTAAAATTGATGAAAAATAAGTAAGCAGCTTTATTATAACAACTATGTCTGCTTACTATTTTTCATTCTTCCTTCCTTCCCTCTCTCTCTTCCTTCTCCTTCCTTCCTTCCTTCTTTTTCTTTCTTTCTCTCTTTCTTTTATCAGTCATGGGGCTTGAATTCTGGGCCTGGGCACTTTTTTCTGAGCTCTTTAGCTCAAGATGAGCACTCTATTACTTGAGCCACAGCTCCATTTCCAGTTTTCTGGTAGTTAATTGGAGGTAAGAGTCTCAGGGACT